TTTATATACAGTTCAGATAATATCAAAGCGGTAAAAGCAGCATTTAGCACATTAAGCCCAAACATGTAAAATCAGACAATAAACAAAGCCAATTATAACAATCTATCTAAGCTCGAATTCTAAACCCTGAACCAGAGATTCTGGGTTATGATCCCCAGCAGAGTCGCCAGAGTAGTCACACCTCCTTTTTCCTACCCATAAGGGTATAAGGGAGTTTTTTCCAATTAAAGGACAATCGAAACGGGATTTGTTTATTTAATTCAGAGTCGCCACTTGGGAGATTTATGGTGTCCTAAGTCATCGATTGAATCCCGAATCGAGGAAAATATTCGACTTTCCAAATGAAGTCTGTGAACCAGAAATTCTAAGTAAGGAATTCTGTTGACCCGAGGGAAGGTGTTAGGCACCCCCGAATCCCGTGGTTCTAGCACGGTCGCTTAAACTGTTGTAATGGCTAGATATCTGATTTTAATACATATTGTAATTTATGTGCTTTTATCAACTTTAAACCGATTTTATTATTATTTTTAATAGAATTGCAACGTCGTGAAAATGCGTTTCGAGCCACGTCGCAATCAATGCACCCGTGGTTGTTGACACATTTTTGACTTCGTTGAGATTTGGATTTGGGTCACATCAATGCACACCCGTGTTTAAGAAAGTAAATTATTAAAAGGCGCACCTAAAGCGACTAGCACATTATTATTTTGGGTTATTATTTTTGGGAAAAGGCCGTGAAATTCACTAAACGACCCATCCCGAAGTCTAAAAATTAGTACAATATTTATTGAGGGCCCCGCAATTTATAATTTATTTGGCGAGGCTCATCTCATTTTTATTTTAAAGGTCGTCCTATAATGACTATGTTGTTTGTCTCTAAAGTATATGAAGAAAAAGGTCCTAATTAAATTACATGTTATAGCTAAGTTCCGGATGCGGTTTTGTTAAAGCAGAATATAAAGGTGCATATGGAAAGTCCGTTTGCCAAGCATGGGCCCAGGTCCAATGTAGGTAGTATTAAACTGAACCTGGGCCATTTTATTCCAATATTGAGGCCTAGTTAAACTATTCTACACATATTCCAAATTTGTAATGTTGAAAGGTAAAAATGATGATATCTAATTAAACAAATTACCCAAGCTTTAAAGAATCAATCAATTGGAGTGGGGTAACTTAGAGGTCTAATTTTAGGTCTAACCTCAAACCATTGGATGTTGAAACTAGACTGCCATTGTAATTAAAATGATCTACTGGACCTGATTTTATTTGACATGTATTTGAACACATAATAACTGTTAACCAAACTAAAATGAACAAAATATCATTGACTACATTACTACACAAAACTGCTCAGTTATACCAAAGGGGAATCAAATTACATAAGAATAGTACATGGCATGTTCTAATTACAATTAGTGAAAAGAAAAGAAAAGCTATATTAAGACTTCAAACTTTCATTCTTTCATAATTGTACATGCTTCCATATTTTCATCTTACAATAGTCAGTGTATCAGTTGTGTACCTGGTATTGGAAAGCAGAAGAAGAGGAAGATCAGCAAAAATACAGCAACACAGCAGATTCAACAACACAGCAAAACCCGTGAAACCAGAAATAACAGTAGCAGAAATCCCAGGAATAGTTTGAAAACAAGAGAATAACCCAGCAACTCAATAGAACAGGGCTTGAAGAAACAGCAGAAATCCCAGGAAATTCCAAATTCAAACCAAATAATATCATAAAGCAACACAAACAGATGCAAGGAAACAATAGTTCCTGATTTGTCAAACACTCAAGAAAAGCAACCTGAAATTCTTAATGAAAAAAAAAATTCAGCCTTAACACTCTAACTTTTAATGTAAAGTTCTGATTTTTACTTTCTGAAATTTTTTCTCTTTTTCCAGAATCTTTTTCCCTATTCTCTTTCTCTTAAAATCAGTCCCCAACCCTTCTTATACAACCTGTCCTTTCTTTTCCTTATTCAAATCAGAATTTTTCCACTAAAATCTGATTTTTTACTTTAAACCTCACTAAGGAAGCTTTTTTCCTTATTTTCAGCACCCTCATTCCCTTTTGTTCCCCATTAGTATATTAATTAATACCCTCATTAACAAAGCACTAACAATAAAGTATAATCCTAACTATTTCATTCCTAAATCACCCTTGAAAACCCTTTGATATTACTGACTTCTTAATACAATTATTCAACTGTATTAAAACTTTTAATTATAAAATCTGTTCAAACTAACAGTTATCTAAAACTAATTCTGACTAACAACTATAACCAAACTTATTGATAGCTAAATGACTAAGGTCGAATCCTCATTGAAACAAACTGAACTGAATTTAAATCAACACACAGAACTCAACAGAATCATTTAAACTAAAATTGAAACATTGAATCAATATGAACATGAATGCAGGTTCATTGTCAGCCTACTGACAATGCCCTGAAGCTAAGTGTTCACAGATCAAGCATACACAATAAACATTTGACGAGCTTATTGGTTTACAAACAAGAACGAATTAATCGACGAGAACTAATTAACCGATTATCTATAACAATTGATAACAATCATCCTGAAAATAGACAATCAGGCAATTTCAATCAGTATTGACAAGAACAGAGGTTTATAATAAAATGACTAATCGACAAAACTTATTTGAATTGATTATGCAGCCTATAATTATACACAACAAAGAACAGAAACAAATTCGACCAAATAAAAGGGTCTGATGGAGAAGGAAAGAATAATCAACAAAACTGAAAAATAAATATAACAATACTAAACACATAAACAGACACCTAAAACATCAGAAAAATAGAAATAAAAGAAAAAGGAAAAAGGAAAAATATTGTATATAGAACAAAGAACAGACGGACTTGAATCGACTCGGATTTGAACTTCTTTTGAGGTCAAACGGACCTTAATCAAGTGTTCTAAACTGAGAACACTTCGACTAAGGTCAGTTAAACACCCAAAACCTCTTAAAATTCGGATAGAAAACAGTTTTGGTATTTTCTAGGGTTTTGTTTGTTTCGATTTGGGGTTCGAGTATTTCTAGCCAGATTCAAAGGGAACCAATGGTGGTTTAGGGGTGAGAGAGGCCTGGGGGTCACCTGTATGAATTTGGAACGGATCTGGGTAAGTTCATGTTTGGCTCGAATCTTCAAATGAAGATTCGAGAAGCTCTGAGATGATTCGAGCCAAATGGTTTGAGGATTTGTGTTGGGGGTGGCTGGAAGGTCACAGGGTGTTAGTTTGGTGATCATCGGAGACGGTTGGGTTTTCAGGCCAACCTTCGATTTAAGATTCGAAGAGTTGGGACCTAATTCGAGGGGAGTTATGGTGATGGTTGGAAAGAGGAGGTCGAGGTGATTCAGGGGTGTTAAGGTGGTGGCTGGCGGCGTAGTTGCCGCCGGGTTTCAGGCGAAGGGGAACTAGGGCGGCTAGGGTTTGAGGGGGCATCGTCTCAGAGACGATGATGAATAGGAAGACGAATGGGGGTGTTTGGTTAGGGGGCTGGGTTAGGAATTGAATTTATATAAGGGTGGGGTGGTTTGATCTCGGCCGTTCGATCAAGAGAGATCAATTCAATTAAAGGAACGACGTCGTTTGGCTCAGCTGTGAGACTGGGTCGGTCTCAATTGAGAATGGGTCGGGTCATAAGACGTGTTGGGGACCGTAGGATTAAACGAGATGAACGGCTTAGATCAATTTGCCTAAAACGGCGTCGTTTCAACTTAGCCGGGGCTGAACTGGACCATTTGATTGAGACAAATCAATGGCCCAGATTTGAGATGCAAAAATGGCGTCGTTTGGTTGGATTCTGAGACTGGTCGGTTGGGCCTGGGTTGGGTGTGATACTGGGCCTGACTTCTCTTTTAAAAACTGGACCTGTCCGAATTTCTTCATATTTTTCAACTCTTTTCCTTTTCCTTCCTTAATTTTCCAATTTAAACACACTTCCTAATTAATTTGTAAAATCAAAATAAAACTAACACAAATATTAATTAACACTTACAACAATTAACACACAAATTAAAACCTTAAAATAAAATCACACAACGACAACAAATAGAATAACACGCATATTTTTATGATTTCCTTTTAGAACCAAATAATGGTTTAATTAATTCTTAAAGGCATAATTAAATCCTAGATATGCATGCAACATGTATTTTTATTTTATTTTTCAATTAACTATAACAAGATAAACATTTACGGACAAACACAAATAATTATCCAAAAATGTCACATAAATCCTAAAAATTGCACACCAAGAGAATTTTGTTTTATCTTCGATTTCTTTTGGAGTAGTTTTCGTGAAACAAAAATCACGTGCACACATGGATCATTTTCTTTGTTATGTATATATGGTATAAGGCTGGAATTATTGATGAATGACCTCATTATCATGTTAATGATACTATTAATTTAAAGTAAAAATTCTATAAGGGATGATATGGGATATACGAATTCCAATTGGAGCTTGTCGCTCGTCGTAAAATAGTTATGACTTGTTGTTAATTTATGGTGTCTTGTTATTGATAATTATGTATTGATGGATTTCTTTGGTAATTGTTGTTGGTATATGGTATTGGAGGAGGCTCTTGTTACAGGGGAGATGCTGCCCGAATTTATATAAATGAGCTACAAGTTTAAGTTTCAAACTTAGCCTTTATTCAACACTGATTTTGAATCTCCTTATGCAATGGTAGATTGAGTTGAGTTGTTTGAAGAGTTGCTTGAGAGATATTAAGGACTCACCATGGTTAAGGTATGTTAAGGCACTTCCCTCTTTCGTTTGGCATGATCTAAAGTAAAATGAATACGCTATTTCATAACAGATCTACTCCTAGAAACTAAGGTTGCCCATGTCGTTCTTTCCTTATAAAGTTATTCTAAGCAAGTATGTATGATCCTTGAATCCTATAGAAGCTCATATTGATGGTATGATGTCCATAATGTTAATCGAAGGTGCAATGACCTTAAGTCACTCCAAAAAGCTTTAGAACGTGATTCCATGAGTTTAGCATGCATTATATATAATATCTATTTTACTCTACCGAGCCGCACTATAGTAGGCCGGGTACGACATCTATTGTGTAACCACTGATCAGTTGGATTTACCGAGCTCCACGTGGCCGGGTACGATTCTACCGAGCCTTATGATGGCCGGGTACGTTTTTACCGAGTCCTCTTTGAGGTCGGGTACGATAATATGATGATGATGATTCCTACAGACGCGTATGTTTTTAAAAGTTTATGTATATATGTATTATGCATTTCATGTCAGTAGCCCACAGAGGCACGCAGATGTTACAGGTTGTATCTCCTCTATCTCTCTTTATATTACTATTCTTGTTGATGCTTCATGCCTTACATACTCGGTACTTTATTTGTACTGACGTCCCTTTTGCCTGGGACGCTGCGCAGGTCCCAATTTATAGGTTGACATTCCTCCTAGTAGGCTATCAGCTCAGCGGAGGTGTTGGTGCACTCCACTTGCTCCGGAGTTGCCTATTTGGTCAGTATGCTTTGGATATGTATTGATTGATATGGTGGGGCCCTGTCCCGACCTTTATGATTTTATGTACTCTTAGAGGCTTGTAGACATATGTCATGTATATGAAAATCTTATGGCCTTATCGGCCTATGTTCAGTGTATGAGTTATCACTTTGGTTTTATAGGCACGTATATCACATGTATAAGTTTCCATGTCATGTCAGGTCGTCCAATATTTAGTATTCCATTATATTTTATTTTTGTTATCTCATGACGACCTTTCTAGGCTATTTACCCATGATATTATGATATGACAGATATGTTATGTTGGTACTCGATTAAGTAAGGTACCGGGTGCCTGTCACGGCCCATCGGTTTGGGTCGTGACATCCCTCTATATTTTGAGACAGGCTTCCAGATAATGGTATGCAAAATTGTCTCAAGCTCTTTGCTCTAGAGGATATTCTCATTCTTTGAATGACTACTCCCAATTCACTAGGGGTTCTAGTTCTTCCTTGGTTATTTTAGCTGTGTATGTGGATGACATTATTCTTACAGGCACTGATCTATCTGAGATTTCATCTTTAAAGGGCCTTCTACATGAACAATTCAGAATTAAGGACTTTAGTTCTCTTAATTATTTTCTGGGAATTGAGGCTCTTTACTGTAATTCTGGAGTTCTTCTTCATCAAAAGAAGTTTATTCATGACTTGTTAGAGTCAGTTGACTCTTCTGCCTCTTCAGTTATTGTTTGTCCTCTTACTATCAATGAGAAACTGACGGCTTCTGTTGGTGATCCTTTGCCCAAGCCTGAAGAATATAGATGCTTAGTGGGCAAGTTAAATTTTTTAACCCACACACAGCCTGATATTAGTTTTGCAATCCGGCACCTTAGCCAGTTCCTGCAAACCCCTCATGTTCCTCATATGCAGGTTGCTTTACATCTCTTGCGCTATTTGAAAGGGACTTCTGAATTTGGGTTATTCTTCAGTCATTCTCCTGACCTTGCATTAAGAGCCTATTGTGACAGTGATTGGGCTTCTTGTGCTGATAGTAGAAGGCCTATCACTGGTTTTTGTGTCTTTCTAGGAGACTATTTGGTGAGTTGGAAATCTAAGAAACAACTTGTGGTCTCTCTTTCCTCTGTTGAAGCTAAATATAGGGCCATGAGTAAAGTTGCAGCTAAAGTTACTTGGCTCTCCAGATTATTGTTTGATTTTGGTCTTCCTTCTTCTTTTCCTGTTTCTTTATACTGTGATAACCAGACAGCTTTGCATATTGCTCGCAATCCAGTCTTTCATGAACGGACCAAACATATAGAGTTGAACTGTCATTTTGTCATAAGTAAAATTGGTGATGGGCTGATTAGCTTGGCCCATGTCTCCAGTGATGCTCAAGTAGTTGACATTCTTACAAAAGGCTTCCTGGGCCTGCTCATCATTTTTATCTTTGCAAGTTGGGGATTTTATCACCCTCCAACTTGAGGGAAGCGGTTAGAATATTAAAAGACAAAGGTTAATGATTATATTGGGCATATTATTGTAATCAGAATTAGCAGTGGCCCATTCTATGTTGTGTTAGTTGTAATTGGGCCACCGGGTCAAGGGTCAAGGCCCACCATTTATGTTTATTACTTTCATTCTTCTATGTACAGACAATTAATTCATTTTGGACAATAACGAGAAAATATCAAAAATGCAACATTCCATTCTCCAATCTTCATTTATTCTCTAGATTCTCAAACATCTAACAGTTTCACGCACGCTCAAGCATACATGCAATAGATATCTTCAGAGTGTTTTTATTATATAGTGCTGCTTACAAATTAAGAGAATAATATACAAACAACAGTGCGTCGAAGTAACTATCTATTGAAGTAATGTCAATTCTCAATATCAAAGTCTCAGGACCCAATACCCTACCACAAGGAAAAAATAGAAGAAGAGAGCGAATGTAGAGACAACCTCAGACTCTTGATATCCTAGACATTTTTTTGCAATGGAGAGACAAACTCGGATTCTTGATATTCTATACATCTTTTTGCAATTACATTGTAAATAAAACATTTAATCCTTCAGGGGCACAAGCATATGCCAATACCATCGCTTTAGAACCTAGTTAATTAGGTCAAAACCTTGTAGGATAGAACCTTGATTGGCGAAGCCATTAATGTCCATTAGCGGGCAAGAGAAAGAGCCAAATTTGGCGTATAGGGAGCATAACTTTCTCCGAGGGTCACATCATGTACAAGTAACAGTGTTTTCGCTCAATCTGTGTTGCTTCACCCGATGGTGTAAACCTTCACTACCTTGGAAGTATCACAGACGACTAGGTTCTCTGAATTAGTAGGAGTTGTGCATAGCCAATTCACCTGATTAGTTAAAGAGCCAATCATGAGATAAATATACAAAACAATCGAAGCATAAAGTGGGAGAGATAGAAATCATAAAAAGCAATGAAGTGAAACTCACTTTTCTGCTCAAACTTAAGCTAGAGCAAAGGAAATCGGAGCCTGTGCTGGTTTCACCAGTGATGAAAAACTTGGACCAATCCCATACTTTTACTTGTTTGTCATTGCCACCTGATATTATGAACTTCCCCTTGTCTCCAAATGTTGAAAAAGTCCTAATAAAATTTCGACAGAGTTAGTGCTGGCAGGCGCAGTAGATTTGAGCATGCTATGCTATAAAGAAAACTTACACACAGGATACAGCAGCAGTGTGTCCTCCCAAAGAGTGATCAAGGTGCAGGTCTCCATTTTGATTTCCATTTTCAGGATCAGCAGAAGAACTGCCAACTTTAGGGGCTGATTTAGAACCTTTCTTGGGTTTAGCTGAACTCTTGGACTTGACAGCATTGGGTTCTGACTCAACCTTTATTACAGAAACAACTCCATCACCCCTAGCCACAGCACAAATCTTCTCAAATTTATCCACCACATCAGCTTCAGGAACAGCCAGAGCATGAACGAAGGCAGGGTTCAAACATTGTCCCATATTACCTTTGTTTCCCGTGTCAAGTGTGCCTACAGGAAACAAAGAAAACGTTAACAGCCGATTTAATCAATCTGGATATATCAAGATGGCCATTTCTAGTACATTAGCTTGGCTAAGAGTACTGGATCCAGGTATGAGTCTGTCTGAAACTACATTCAAAGGTTTTGTATGCATTATGAAGGATCCAAAAGGAAATGCCCACATCAGTCCTAGATGGGTGAACAGAGGTAAAATGATGAGCGGGGGTTTGATTTTTCTGTTAAAATGGAGACAAGAGAACCAAAATACATGTCGCAGGCAAGAAGCAGTAATCATTTAGGTCTAACGTGAACTTGACTGCGCAGCAGGTTTTATTGAGCATTAAAGTAGTTGGACTGCACTAGAATAGTCATGAATCGCTTCTAGCCAATCTTGCTTAGGCGGATAACCTCGAATGTTGAAAAACCACTCTTACAAAAATTATGATAGACCTAAGTTAAGGGCTCTAGAATAATATTTAACACGGGAGGAAGATAATTTTTTTTTAATCAGTGAAAATGGGAGGAAGATAATCGACTATCTACTTCCAATTCCCCTTTCACACCACAAAACTGAACTAGCAGTGATGCTTTCCGAGCAATGGAGGATACATTTAGATATAATCCCAAATGTGGTCCATTTCTGTTCTCCATTGATACAAGACAGGTTATCTGATTTATTATTAACTCATTGAGTATTTCCGCTACCACATAACCAACACCATGGAAATGGAAAACAGAAACCAAAGTTACACAGTATATGCACTTGACTCATACTCCCGAAATTTATCTCTCTGAGAATCCATGTTTACAGTTTACTTATAACATTATTACTTTTATCTTATTTTGACCTACAAGGAAAATATTAGTACTCTCTCACACATATTAAACCATTACATTATCCCTTTTCAACTACTATATGAAATACTCAGATATGCAGTTCTGGTGTAGTAAGACATGCATTCAACTTGAGAGTATATATTACCATAGTAACTAGTACTAGAAACTGCAAATATACAAAAGAGTGCATAGTTACATAGTAGAAGGCTTAACCTACCAAAGTCCCAAATCGTCTGTGGTCGTCCCTTGGAGAAGTCCCATAGCACAAGTTTTGAATCAAGACCTCCAGTGATGACTTAAAAATGACAAAAAATACAAGATATTGTCGTCATCAGCTTATAAGAAACAATACGGGAACCCTATTCAATATCCAAACATCATAGGAAATTGAACAGAAAGCAGCAGGCTGTCACAACTTGCACATTTTATCAAAACCCTATGTACTACAACTTGCACATTTTTCGAAACCTTACATTGTTCCATTCATGTTCATTNTGAATTGAGCACTGCTACATATCTGATAAGATAGTTAAGGTCACAAATGATGATAGGTTCAGAATAAGAAAATGGTTCCCTATGTGAAGTTGGGGAAGAAAATTGGAAAAAGAAACATCACAGCAAAAATACAAGTAGGACTACTTCACATGCCAACAACATGATACAAGAAAGGAATAACAAATAAGTAGAATGTAGAACAATAAAATTTAACTAAAAAAGAATGACATGAAAAGATCACCATGTTTCTGGGAGAAACTTGTCACAGTTATATGAAAAAGGATACACTTGTGTGGCCAGCTCTCAATGTTTTGTACATTCGATTTTGGCGGATGTCAATGATCTGCAACACAAGTAACACTCAGATGTCCAACATACATACAGAAACAGCGAAACAGTTTTATCTCTTAAAAGTTTCACAATTCATCTAGAACATTCCAGACATTGTAGTAAGACCAACAAATAAACCAATATAGCAGAAATGTTGCAAGACAAATAGACGAATATGTGTGCATGGCCATTTATGTATCTATGTATTTATGGACCTCACTTTGTAAATATGAGAGGGGAAAAGAGGGAGAGAAATCGATATGAACATACATAAATCCTTCAAGCAATAGGATACAAGACAACGGAGACTTAAAAACATGGAGAAGACAAATCTTCTCCATTTCTATCGTCTGAACATTGTAATGATAAAGGTAGGTCTGCTTTCCACAGATAGCGCACAATTAATCAACACTCATAGTCCAGATTGGTAGTAGCAACGAGGTAAGTTGTCAGAGAGGAATATGTTGGAGCAGATGAGGACTATGAGGTGCGAAGGATGAAGTATTAAGAGGGTCTTCCCAACATCCAACAATTTTTTGCTTATATTGAATTTGATTTTTAGGTGAAAGGGAGGCAGCATTTTGTTGTCAACGAGAAGATGCCATAAGGATAAATTAAGCAATTGGACAAGTATGGTATTATGTTTGGAGAAAATAATGATGAACCCTCACCCCTGGTCAAAAAGCCTCATCATTGATGTGCATAATCCTCAGTAATTTGCAAAAAAAAATATTTCAGTAACACCATAATAGACCAGAATTACTTACTTTCCTAAAACTTAATAAAGAAAGAGGACTCCAAATCGTGATGCACAACTTATATCAGATCAAGACATAAGAATTTTTTTGTTTTTGGAGATGGACAAGACATAAGAATATTATTAGATAAAAAAATTTGAATCAAGACCCCAAAGACCGAAAATACAAAATTTTACAGCTAACAGAAGATACCATAATTCTCAATTTTCTTTATCAGGGCTAACAGCATACACCAGAATCTTGTTACACCATGAACTCAATGATATTAAACCATACTCGACCAACACTTTAACTACCTATCAGTGCACAGAATTGAATTAGCCCAAACCCACAAAGGAATAAAGCCAAAAGGCTAGATTTCACTTCCCAAGATTGAATTTTTTTTTTTTGGCACCCAAGGGTGTGGCCTAGTGGTCAATGAAGCCGGCGAGAACCATGAGGTCTCGGGTTCAAATCCCAGCGGAGGCACACTAGGTGATTTCTTCCCATCTATCCAAGCCTTGGTGGATAGAGTTACCTGGTACCTGTTGCTGGTGGGAGGTGGCAGGTATCTCGTGGAATTAGTCGAGTTGCGCCCAAGCTGGCCCGGACACCATAGTTATCAAAAAAAAAAAGATTGAATTTTTAGTTTATATTTTGGTAGCCAGACACAGAATCCGGGGACTTTGTGAAAGCGGGCATATTTTCCCATAAAAGCATAGATGACTTGCTAAACCTGAAAACCCTAATGACGCTTCCTCTTAGAACAAACAGCTATTTCCTGTTGGGAGGCCACACCTATGGCATAGGCTTCCACAACCTGTAACTTCTTTTAGACAAATTTATAGCTGCTGCATTTTAATATAACAAAAATTCCATGAAGAAACAAATATGATCTCGACCTGTTTGTTGCATCCACCACTCCTGAATCACTACCATGCACTGTAAACTAAGTGGATTCATGGCATTACATTATAGAATACAATACACACATTTAGCTGTCCTACCTTGACATCACCACTATCATCTGCTGCAGCAAGGAACGATGACTTTGAGTTGCAAGCAATCT